GGGGGGGGGGGGGGGGGGGGGGGGGGGGGGGGGGGGGGGGGGGGGGGGGGGGGGGGGGGGGGGGGGGGGGGGGGGGGGGGGGGGGGGGGGGGCGTACTCTTATGCTTTTGCATGTCTTTAACGGTTAGACCATTGACCACGCGTCCTCAAGAGGACGGAGCATTGTTCCCACAGGNGGGGGGGGGGGGGGGGGGGGGGGGGGGGGGGGGGGGGGCGGTTTAAGGTTTCGACGAATGGTCGATTGGATACGAGAGCGTCGCAAGGTCTGTGGCTAAAAAAGGGTTCGTTAAGCCTTGCCACGTGTTGCTTGACACACTATCGTGCCTCGTTGACTCGCTTAGACATTTTTGTCGGCAGCTTCAGCAGCAGCACGTGGCAAATGACTGTTGCACGTGTGGGCGAAGACGTTCCAAGCATTGCTCGCCGCTTTGGTGGTTTGTGGCGATTCCGCATGTTTTAGGCGCGGCAAGACATAATGGCGAATTTGAAGGTGCATCAAAATCTAGAATGGGGCTGGTTGGTTATCGTTTGCTGTTGGCAAACGGTAAATAGGTTGCATACGCGCGGTTTACGGCATGTGTTGCAACATTTGTTTGCTGTATAGACGCTTTATCCAGGTGTTCTAGACGGGTCGCGGAAGGTTTGGAAGAAGGGTTCTTGTGACGGTCCGGCGAGGGACGGATGTCCCGCATCTTGTCCATCTACCCGCTGCTACTGCTGCCACCGCTCCCCCCGCCCGGTTGTACTTGTGCGAGACCCGCTGCAGCTTTCAGCTTGCAACCGTTGCGGTTCCGCACTGTGCCGGTTACGGATCGTGTTCGAAACGGGTAGCAATGCGGAACGGTAGACGGTTACGAGCAGATATTTGTTTCTTAGGCGAGCACACTTCCAATCGGTGTACGTAGGTAGGGTACGTGCGGTAGTTTTCGGGGAACGCTTGGTAGCGATGTGTCGCCGCTGTCACGAGACGTGGGGTTGGTATCGTACGCTTGAGGTGGACACCTTCCGACTTAAAACGGAACCGGATTGGTTCGAGAAAGAGGCGCACGGTGGGGGGGTAGAGGGGTAGAGTCGGGGGTCAAAATTGTACGAGGTATCATCCTGACGGCAAGGTGTAGAGGGGCTTGGTGTTTGTTTTGGGTGTCCGGGGAGAGGGTGGTGGTCTGAAGCTTTATTTTCGACAAATACTTGCAGAAGGAAAGTAATATTTTCTGGATTATATGCAACGCCGGGGAAACTTTTTTGTACTGATCTTGTTTTGCCCACACATGGACGATGAAAGCCCAAATCCAAATTCCAAGACGTCGTGGACGTGAGAGGGGCGTACACAAGACAACCAACAGGATGGTCCTTGAGACATCCTCATCTTTTTTCAGTGGGTCCGTCGATGCAAAACGCATGCATGCACTGACATTGCACACAAATTCGTGGTCGATGATCCTTCCCCCTTTTCGTCACATGGGACAAGACGCACACGTGTGGCGTGCCTTTTTCACCAACCAATCGAAAAAAGAAGTCGCGCGACGAAGTGCCACGCAGCCACCCAGACAGCCAAAGACCATAGCGGCGGATCGATCGGAAACTCGCCCGCGCAATCAACTAACCACGATAGTTGTCCCGCGACACAGACGCCACTCCATGTTTCGTGAGACACTTCCGGCATGTCAAACTCCGTTCGCCGGCCACACTGTCACGCCAGCCGGAAAAGCCTGATGATTATGATTCGACGGATGGTTGCAGGTCATTAACGTTTTTCCTCCAACGATGTTGCCCACGTGAAGGCCGTGAGAAACGTCGATTGGCGTCACATTTTTTCTGTTCTCATTCTCAGACACGATGATCACCGGTCACTACCAAGTACCACGTGTATTTCTCTCTCTTTCATTCCCATCCGTGCACCCGTCCTAGTGCCACTTGTGCATAAAGCGGGAGGGAAGCGCAGTGAACGAACGTCGTCAACCAGAAGAAAAGCAAATAAGCGGAAACAGTAGTGATCGGAAGACGATCCTGTATACATACGGGTTGAACACGCGGGCGGATGATCACTCACGCTGCTTTCCGTTTGACCAAAACAAGAAACCGGATGCAAGCCAAGAGGGGATGCTGGTGGTTGTTCCATTTTCGAATCTTGGTGCTTTGTGTTAACATACATAAGACTAATTGAAAAGTTTCTGCGATAAATTACGACCGACACCATAACACGCGTGCTTTTCAACTTCCTTCGTGCAACGAAGAGAGAGGCTGTTGTGCCCCCACTAGGTCAGCCGGGAACACGAGCACCGTGTATTCACTGTACTCATGCTACAACTACTACTAAAAAAAAACGAAACTGTATGTTACAAGTTGTAGTTCCCTCAAACACGATAAACAAACGCACAGATAGAGGCGAGTGGACAAGAAACGACAGGTTCCTTCAGGAGACGAGCGCAGCAGCTATTGCCATGTGTATAAACAACAAGCAGCAAACTTCAGCGGCGCTAATCATCGACATGGTACTCGCGCAATTGCGCCAGACACGCGGATAAACCAGTTACTAGTCGGCCATCAACAGCAGAGCAGTGGTACAATCCTAAGGGACGGGCAACAGGGGCACGGCAGGCAGCAAGAGGGGGTCTTTGAACAACTATCGTCGCTACTGCTCTTCTTGCTGCTCCCTCCGCGTTGATTGTACGACGCTCGACGCGCTCGGACAACACGGGCAAGCAAGATAACGACAGCTACAACGACGGAACAAACAAGTGAACAATAACTAACAAAAAAAAAGTTAATCACGGATGGCGAATAGCAGCGGGACACGGAAGGTAGTCATCCGAAGCTCCTAATAGGAATCGAAACGGGGCATCGAACGAAAACAAACAGGAAAAAAACAGGAAAAAACAGAGCAAAAATAGAAAACTTGATAGTGAACATTTCTCTCTCTGTCTCTCTTTCCCTCCCTCTTCTCTCCGTCGCTCCCCCCAGCAATACAAGAGTGCTCAACAAAAATCGAAGCGACGACCACACTACGTGGTACGAACAAGAACATAAGAGCAACGGAAGGCCTATCTTCCCCGGATGGCGGGTTGCGGCGTCACTAAGGATGCTCTCCTCCTACGCTTGGTGCGTACGTGGATACGAACGCATGAATCCCATCAATTCTCATCATTCTCTCCCGGTCTCGCTCCCACAAGCGTTCATGGTACACAAGCCTTTCGTATAGAACAGCAGCAGCAGCAGCAGCAGTTCTACCAGCAGCAGCATCATGATCTCCCGGTCTCCCTCCCACAAGCGTTCACCAGCCTTTCGTATGGAACAGCAGGAGCAACAGTTGTACCAGCAGCGGTAGTACATTTCTTCCACCGCGCCATGAAGTAGTACATCGCACCGCCTTCGCGGGAAATTAAGTTTTTTGAGGAAATAGAACAGGGAGGGGGTACGCAGACCATATTCCCTAACCCAAACCCTAACACAACTTCCCCGACTGTATGCTTTTATCCAACTTGTTCTAGTAGTAACCTTGCGAAGGGTACTGAGCACATCACTGAGTCAAGCAACTATAATAGGGAAAAGCGCAACCGCACCAATGGCAAATCAAGGCGAGGACAAAGAGGAACGGTTTCCCATCATCTTCTTGATGTCCTTGTTGGAGAAGACCATGACCTGGTCGTTAGGCGGGGCCCCGAGCTTGGACTCCGCCTCCATGACCATGGCACGCCCTAGCGTCTCCACGGGCATCTGACAAAAAAAAAAAAAAGCGGGGGGCAGCAGCGATCTTGTCTTGTATCCGTGTTCTTGGCCAGTGGGGGGAATGGCTTACGACGTCAATACCGGTGTCAGCTGTACGAGAAGGCTGCTGTTTGAAATACTTGACAGGAGAGCCGGGGTGAGTTCTTGACGGTGGTATTCCTACGTACTCATGTCAACCAATCAAAATCACTCTAGCCTGGCATCATGCGGCGAGAGCGGTGCGTAGGAAAACTCATTTCACCCTGACGCCGCCTACAAAAGAAACGATCGTCGCCCACTTCTATCCTGACGTGTCCGCACCCTCTGAATGAAAGCATTCTACGAGATGTGTTCAGAGATCGCGACAACCGTGCCGGCAAACCCCAACAGAAAATATAGTTTACTGTGCGGACTATTTCAACGGGTAAGGAGGGAGAGAGGGAGATGAAATAAAAGCGCGTTGTCTTTTCTTGCAGGGGACCCAACGTCGTGATTTGCAACGCACCCCTTCTTTCGAAGAGCGTGAACCGCTTCAGTGGTGCACACCAAAGTTAATCGGCTGGCTTGCCATCCTAAAATACAACGAGTATTACAGAATGGCCTCATAGATGCCAAAGAGTACAAATCGTTTCTTCGAAGTTGTGATGTAAGAGACGCTTCAAGGGCGGTTGGCGGAAAAGAAGCCCGCTTCGTTGACAGCATCACAACAAGGGCACCTACAGATAGAAACGGGTTTCGTCTACACACACCGGGGAGGGGCAAACAAGAAACTGTGAGAATAGAAGAGGGAGTGGAGGGGGACACGCACGCATGGAGAGCGAAAGGGGGATATGCATCAAGATACAGTGGGAGGGGCGGTTTAGGGGCCCCTAGTGTCACGACGAAATGTGGCCGCTATTCAGGGCAGGTCGCGAAACCGAACTCCTAATTACATTGCAGATATACCATCGGGGTGCGGCAGTGCCACGTATTTTCGTGGTCGCTAAACAGCGGGTTGCTGAACCGGGCCCCGAATGTAAATTGAAAATAGAGAGAGAAGCGTAGTACCGGCTGTTCACCTTGCAAAAAAATCCAGCGGGTTGACACACCCACATTGGTTTGGGTTTGGACCCTCTCAGCTGTGTCCCGTGATCACCTTGCTGCTAAAATGATACCGTTCGTACGCACGCCTGCCGACATGCATGCGTAGCCGAAGCATGCAATGTCGGTGGGGGCTTTCAACTTTGTGGCATGTTTCGCCGTGTGACAAACAAACACACACGCCGTTTTCATCCATGGAAAACGGGTGGGTGCAGCAGGTGATGGACCTACCAAAAACGCGGTGTTTACACAGAGCGCTATGGGGGGAATGGTAGTCCGTGGTATTTATCTCCCACGCAATAGACGCAGCAATGTGATAAAATAAATATCACAACAAATGATGCCACTTTTGAAGAGCGAGTCACGCGGTCAGACCAACTCTTCTGGAAGGTCTGCAGTTGCTGAGATTTGGGTTATTGAGGCCGACAGGACACAATACCCACCCTAATAGTGCAGTTATTTGCCGGAAATCTGCGATTTAAAATCGCATTTACCCCGGAATCGCATTGCCATCTGCGATTTAGAGTGCCATCTGCGATATAGAGTACCATCTGTGATATAGAGTGCCATCTGCGATTTGGGGTTACAGGTTGTGTAGGCGTTGTGCTCGCGCGCGCGGCACCGATTGCACGTTTGTTGGCACCGCACCCGCGTACACCCGTGTGCTGAGCGTTGGTGTGTAGGTAGGTGTCAATATGTGTATCGTGATGATACAGATCGGATCTTGAATATACAGCATCCACCAATCGACAACCTGTACTGAGTCCACGAGCGAGCCAAGATTGTGTGTATGTAGCTATGCGAAGAGTATTTGGTGGAGGCAAAGAGGATCCTTCTGTCGCTGCTGCTGCATGCTCTCATCATTTACAGGTACATTAGCTTCTTGTGTGCTGATGATGGATAGATGTATGTGCTGTTGCTCAACACAGAGCAGAGGTAGGTGTGTGTATGTGTCCCTCACGATCCTACGGCAGCCGCTGTTGATGTCTGCCGTGTGTGTGTAGTCTTAATGTGGTGATTCGAAAGGAACCTACCGTCAGTTGGTGGTCTGTCGAGTCAAAGCCAGTGTTTTCCTTTTCCGACCATGAGGGTTGATCTAAAAAATCGCAGCTCTCTCTGTTGGCCTGAGAATTTCCACCTGATTCTGTGGCTTGCAGACAACATGCAGACCTTCTATAAGAGTTGGCCTAAAGTTCGCGTGTCTATCTCTCTTGCTCTCGCCGGGATAACCTCTCCCACTCATCGGGGAAACTCTCTCCTCTCCCAATCATCGGGGGGTAATTCACCCCTCTCCCAATCATCGCAGCAATACATCATGATGATCGGGGTAATTCACCCCTCTCCCAATGATCTCGGGGTAATTCACCCCTCTCCCAATCATCGCAGCAATACATCATGATGATCGGGGTAATTCACCCCTCTCCCAATGATCTCGGGGTAATTCACCCCTCTCCCAATCATCGCAGCAATACATCATGATGATCGGGGTAATTCACCCCTCTCCCAATGATCTCGGGGTAATTCACCCCTCTCCCAATCATCGCAGCAATACATCATGATGATCGGGGTAATTCACCCCTCTCCCAATGATCTCGGGGTAATTCACCCCTCTCCCAATCATCGCAGCAATACATCATGATGATCGGGGTAATTCACCCCTCTCCCAATGATCTCGGGGTAATTCACCCCTCTCCCAATCATCGCAGCAATACATCATGATGATCGGGGTAATTCACCCCTCTCCCAATGATCTCGGGGTAATTCACCCCTCTCCCAATCATCGCAGCAATACATCATGATGATCGGGGTAATTCACCCCTCTCCCAATGATCTCGGGGTAATTCACCCCTCTCCCAATCATCGCAGCAATACATCATGATGATCGGGGTAATTCACCCCTCTCCCAATGATCTCGGGGTAATTCACCCCTCTCCCAATCATCGCAGCAATACATCATGATGATCGGGGTAATTCACCCCTCTCCCAATGATCTCGGGGTAATTCACCCCTCTCCCAATCATCGCAGCAATACATCATGATGATCGGGGTAATTCACCCCTCTCCCAATGATCTCGGGGTAATTCACCCCTCTCCCAATCATCGCAGCAATACATCATGATGATCGGGGTAATTCACCCCTCTCCCAATGATCTCGGGGTAATTCACCCCTCTCCCATCGTCCATGTAATACCTCCCCCTCTCACCGGGGTAACCAGGAAGCGGGCCATCTTCTCCACACCCCTAGCCTTGCTGCCCCTCCCGAGTAGACCTGGCCTCCAGATGCTCGTGTGCGGGTAGCCGGCTGATCGCACAAGCTTGCCCCCGAAGAAGAGACATGAATGCCAACAGCAGCAACAACGTTCGGCGGAAGGAAATTATAAGAAAAGCGACGCAAACCCGTGCCTTGACGCATGACGGAGAACCCAAACCTCAAAATTAGGGCTTCTTCCAGTCTTCAGGTTGCTTGTACACGGCAACCAACGACAATAACAACAACAACAACAACAACAACAACAACAAAGGCCACACATGATGGCACCTGCTCGCACTGGCCCTTGACCTTCGGATAGAGCAGCGGGCTCGAAGCCGACGCTCCCTGGCTCGACACCAACGAGAAGTGGTCCACCCCCGCCACCCGGCACAGCTGGCACACGCCTTCCAAGTAAGAGAAGTCAACTGCGCGGGAAGTGCAGCACAGGACAGGACAACGCCGAACAGCGCACGACAGGACAGCGAAGAAAGTACAAGACATAAGTGACGTTGGAGGAGACTGAAGTAATATACCACGAACGGCCGGTTCACAGTTCGCAGGAATGGCGGTGAGGGGGAGGGGGGGGAGGGGGAGTGACTCACAGCCGTGCATGTCGTAGTCGTTAGAGCATTGACCTCGCATCCCTACAATGCCGTGACAGAGCACGCCGGGTTCTCACCGAACCAGGCTTTCACATCACCAAGCACGAAGCGCCTTGAACTATTCGGCGAAGGGGTGGGGGGGGGCGTACTATTAGGTTTTGCGTGCCTTAGCGGATAACCATTGACCATGTGTCCTCCGAGGAGGGGGCATTGTTCCTACAGGACCGATCACCGATGGCCAATCATTCCTTCCTTCTTCGCCAAGGGCAAGTTGCCATTCCGCCGCTGAAAACGTTCCCTACGAACTAAAAAAGAGAGGGCGCTGCTGCGGCACAAACGTGGCATAAACACTTTCGTGCCGCCTCTCACCCTTCTTGAAGTTTGCAGCGCTGCCGGCGTCGCTTCTGGTCGTGCCGAGGCAGTAAAAAACAATCTGCAAGAAACCGCACAACACACACACACACGGGGTCCCAGAACATGACGTTTAGAAGCATTCCATCATTCAAGCCGCATTGAGACTGAAGCTGACTACCGGGGTAGATGTTAGAAATAGAGGCACACACGCAGACACAGTTACGTCATCTTTGCCTCGCCAGAAAAGAACGACCACGCCTTTGTCATGGGCCACGCGGTTCGGCCGGTCGATGACGGTGCCCCGCAGCCACGGCACCCCCATGAAGGATTCCGGATGAAGAACTGTGGTACTTCCACAGCGATGGTGAGGGGGAACCGGCAGAATGAGCCCGAACCACCAATCAATGTTATCCGTGACGTGGTCCAGGAGACACCGATAATTTAGAGAAGGATTTTCTTTCCATTGCAGTCATATTCCAGCCGAGAAAAACACCACGCAAAATAAAACAGAAGTCTTGAGAGTGTCTGCCTCCAAACACGTAAGTCAAACTAAACTGCCCGTCGCGTTCCCGGTGGCTAAGCGTTGCCAGACGAGGAAAACAACAATAACCGACAAGGATTTGGAAGTGAAGTCGCAAAAAAAGAAAGAAAAAGGCTGGGTTTGTCCTACCCTACTGCTGTTTCTCTCATCACAACCACGTCAAGACAACACACCCCGATCTTGCGGGTAAAACATCCGCGCCAACAGATGAGAGTCGTTATTTCAGACCAACTTGGTATGGACGGTGCACATACCTCCCGGGGGTCTTCAACAACATCAAACACAAATACGTACGTATCCCTCAACACACACGTACAAGACACGCAAGATAAACAGAGATCTAGGCCCACACTCTGCTGAACGGAGACTCCTGAGCTGTTTCATAGAAGTAAGCTGTTTTATAGAACACAAACGTCACAGATCAAGCTAGGAACAGGCAGGAGGCGTGTGGAGAAAACAAGACGCGCTGCTCGCCAAGGTGGCAAGACGGATCTTCCGTGGGTCGACCCGCGGAACGGCGGGGTCTTGTTTCTGTACCGCCGTACCTGCTTCCCGCGCATCTCTTGTTCCGGGAGAGATGTCTCGAGAGTGTCGTAGTTGATGCGTTTTACCTGGGGCGGATGAGTGCATGGGATGTGAACGAAACGTCCCGTTTGTTAGTCTTGTCTGCAGAATATAGAATACTGTGGCAGCACTTGCAACGAACGCGGTGCAGCTACATGTTTATGTGTGAGTTTCTAGTTTCAACTTACAAATGTCTCTTTTGGGGGGGGGGGGGGGNGGGGGGGGGGGGGGGGGGGGGGGGGGGGGGGGGGGGGGGGGGGGGGGGGGGGGGGGGGGGGGGGGGCATGTGGATCGGGGACAACATCCTTGACGACAAGTAGATTCAAGCTCCAAGGACAAATCGTCAGGATTAAATGAATGTCGGCTGACCTGTGAATGGAGGCGAACTTGTTTGAGAATAACTTGTTTGAAAGAAGCAATATCATCTCTATCCGCTTCTCAGCGTCCAAGAACACTGTTCGCCAACGAATCCATACTCATCTTTCGGCCCGTGACTGATGGAATAACAAAACCCACACCACCTCACCCGATCCAATCCAAAGATGAAGTCACCGTCGCGTCTACACACGAGAGGGATGAACATAGCACGCACGCACACACACAAAACGTCACCTAATCCAATCAAATGATCACGCCACCATTGGCTCTTTACACACACACGACGTGGAGCCAATAATATGGCCCCACAGCACACACCCAGAGAGACTCAACGCTTCGCCCACCTCGACCTTATTGAAGTTGGCGTCGCTGCCGCCGGTCTTGCGTTTGGTTTCATCCCCCCTCCACTCGGACACCGGAGTGAGCCTCCTGGTTTTCGACCGAGGCGTCGCCGCGGAGACCGACGCGTGCGAGACATACAAAAAGATGAACGCACCGCCGTGCAACACGCAATGAAAGAGACGTGCAGCAGTGTGGCGGTTCCAAAACACAAACGCCCCCATGCGAGATGCACGACGCCGCGGAGACTTACGCATCCGAGACACGCCAAACATAGACCCGCCACGATGCACGACGATTTAAACACGTCACGTACCGCCAAATGTAGAGTCGATTATTATTTGCCAAGAATCAAACCAGCGTTTTCCAGCGGCGCAACAGCAACAACTATTAATAATACTGTAGCATCACTGCCACAACTACCACCAACACCACTACCGACACCGACACCGTCGTCCACAGCAACAGCAGCACCAGCACCAGCCACAAAACAATGGCGGAGCATCAGTTTCAGCCAACATCATCCACATCATCGTCACAACCACCAATCGTCACCAACATCAACACTAGCAGCAGCAGCAGCAGCAGCAGCAGCAGCAGCAGCAGCAGCAACAACAACCAAAGACGCAGCAGCGATACCGCCAACTCAACTCCCACACCATGACCACCAATCCCAATTCCGACATCATCACCAACATCATCATGAACAACAAGAGAAGCAGGTAGCAGCAGTCAGCGATCATCATCATCATCAGCAGCAGCAGCAGCAGAGGCGGCAGCAGCCATGCAGCATCATCAGCGGCAGCAGTCAGCAGTAGCCTTTGAAAAACAAATCACCCACCTGACGACGGCAACGACCGACTGGCACTGCTCCGACTCCGCGAGGGCTCGGACGACCTCCTTGCCGACGGCCCCCGTGCTGCCGAAAACCACGGCCTTGTACGGCTCGGCGGCGGCAGCCGACAGAACCCTGACGTCTCGCCTTGACATGATGTGTTACCCTCCTTCCCCCCACCAAACAGACGCACCAGCGGTGCAGCTCGAGCCGAGACCTGGAACGGCGGTAGGGGTGGGGAGCAGAGGGTGTTCGCGTAGGGCATGCAGACAGGCATCCATGGCTGCATCCACCGGTATTTGACGGTTTCATGGGCGACACCAAGCTGCTGGGTCTTCGGGGCGCACATCCGAACGTTATGGTCCTTACGGCATAACCGCGGAACCCTTCTGCGGTGTCCTCCGCGTGACAAGAAAAGTGCTATTTCCTTCCCCGTCCTCTCCCCGTGTCCTTCCCATAATAAAAACAATTGCGGTACAAGTCAAATTGTCTCCTTGTTGAAGCCAACACGCGAATAAGGGTGCGTCGAATTGTACGTTGGACAACATTGGACAACATTGGAGCAAAAACCAACGGAAGATTTTGCGGAGGAGTGTGGAGCTGGGTTGGGGCTCGTCTTACAAAAGCGCCTTTAGAAGCTAACGAGCACGCCAACGTTCGGCTGTTCTGCCGTAACTATGGTATCTAGTGTGCTCGTTTTTACATGCACCAGACTACCGTATATGACACAAGATAACACACCCCCTGGACCGATTTTCAAAGCTCTATTACTCCACGACGAAGAGGATGCATAAACGAAACGATACATTTTCGAGAAGCTCTCGACGAGACGGTTTCAACGTTTTCGGTGCTGTGACTGTTCCTGCAGTTGAGAAATCGAGCTTCGAAAAATGGTCAAGGGGGTGTGTTATCTTGTGTCATATACGGTAGTTATTTTTCCCCGAATGTTCTTTGCGTTATTCCACCCGGCCTTATTGTTCTCAAATAATCCCAGCCAAACTTTTACCCTTACACCCCAGGAGGTTGACTAACCACCACATACGAGGCGACGGATCGCTAGGAAATGGTACTGATAGCAGCACACCACTCTCGCGCCTCGACTTTTTGACGTTCATGTGCCCTACGAGTAACACACGTCGCCGGTAGAACGCTTACCCTTTGATTGGCGAGCGTTCGCGTTGTGGATCCCGCTACTACAAGACCACCAGAAGACTGACGTCTTTCAGGAAAAGTAAATACACACACAGAAAGACACCCATTTGAGATGTAACCACAGTCAGTCGAAGAGGATGTAGTGGAGCCTTTTCAGTGAGTGGAGGAAAACCGGTTGGGTAATGGACAGTCTTTTCATTCGGTTCTTGTGGCGCGGTGGATGCTAACTAAGAACACCCCGCGGAACGCGGGTCCATCTCGACGATAGTACAGCAACAGCAGTCGTGGTCCCGGTTCAGCGGTCCATACAAGTGTAGTGTCACCAAATTCAATAACTGCTATTGAGGGCATCGCCGCTAAACCGGACTGGCAGCTACATTGCACCAGGTTGTTTGACTACCGAGGTGCAGCCTTGCCACGAGATTTTGGGACCGCTATTCAGGGCATCCCCCACTACTATACAGGGAAGAACCGCTGAACCCGGACCCACAACTGCTGCATGTACAGCATACTCTACAGCGTACAGCCAGTTACAAAGGCAACATCTACTGCTGTGTTTCCCTCGCTTTTCAAGGGGATTCGGCGCCACTCATCACTTTTTCCTGAGTGTTGCAGTAACGTCGAAGACGGGCACGATAGAGTAGGGGGTAGGTGACGCAAGGAGCTGTCAGTACACCTCACGCGATCTGTCACTTGCACCCGTCTGAGATACGTCCAGCCAGGATCGACAATTTCTTCATTCCTTTTGTCTCAGGCCCTTTGCATGAACTCACAGCAACCTGCAGCATTGCCGGCCAAAACCGCCACAGATATGGCTCAAAGATCACAAGAGTGCCTATGGACTGCAGATGTGAGTGTGTGTGTGTAGCGAGTGATCCCACCGTCTCACCTTCGCCTCCTCCCCACGTGGTGCTTGTAGTGCGCTCTGTGTGGTATGCCGCACGGACGGCTGGTTTGAATGTCGCTCCGATCTCGAGAAAGGTCCCGTGCACCTCCTGTTCCGACCGCCTCCCGTTTGCACCTTAAACGCTCGTCAGAATGATGATATCACTCGCAACCTACGTATCGCACGTCGCTGCAGTGAGTGGTCCCTGCTGTGGTGTGCTGGGAGAGGCAGCAGCACAGACAAGCGGAGGAGTTAGGCGGAGCGGGAGCTCCGCAGTCGAGGGGCACCGTAATTTGAACCTGAAGCCTGCCCTATGCCTGTCAGGCTCCTTCATCTTTCATTTTGTTGCGTGCGGGTGCCTCCACTGCTGTTGCTCTGTCCCTGGCTGGTCTGATCGCTGTGTCCTACACGGGCAACGTCGCAGGAGTGCGTGCTCACCAATCCTTTCCTGGGAGTACGCCAGTTGGGGAAAAGGCAACGAGCGTGTAGAGAGAGAGAGAGAGAGAGAGAGAGAGAGAGAGAGACCACAGGAGGGGAGAGAGAGAGGATTGTTGCGAGAGACGACGACAACGGAGCGAGGCAACGAAGGAAAACACAGCAGCACCAGCTCGGACAACCGACGCACGGAGTCCTACCGAGAGACATAAACAAGGATTTCAAGTACAGGACGCGTCAAGAGCACGTCGGGTCAGTCTCCGCTGATCCTTTGCTTGAGAACGACGGCCAAGGCAAAGACCAAGGGGGCTGCCGCAATGCGCCGCTCGTCGAAGTCCGCCAAATCTCCGGCCGCCAAGGCCCCAGTCGCCAAAGGAGGGTGAGACAGCAGCAGCCTGCCTATGTACACACAACTACATTTCACAGTAGCTATTTTGCACCGATGATAATTCGTTGCGTTGGTGGGTCCGCGCGAACTAAGGAGGGAGATAAGCGTAAGTTGTTCTCATCTCTTCGTCTTTTATCTGCTGCACACGGCAACAAGCGGGAAGATTACATCATGCGGCTGCTGGTCGAGTCTGCTGTTCGCAGCTGCCGGCGGACATCACAGCAATGTGCGCGGGTGTATAGGTATACGGCAATGAACACCACCGTCGTTCTCGTGCGTATGTACAGACTCGCTGTGTAGCGGCAGAGGGGAACGGGGATGGTTGAGTTTTGGCGATGGGACGACGAAAAGCTTGTGCTGCTGTGCGGTCGACATTGGGCTCTCTCTACCCGTCTGCCCTCCAAACTAATTCGTGTCGTCTGCCGCCCTGTCGATACGCGCGCACGCGATGACCCTTTGTTGTTGTTGCTGCTGCCCCTGTTGTCATAACATGGAGATATTGTAACCTTCCAATCCCTTCTCGAGAAACCTCGAACAACGCCCGTGTTATTCCAACTGATGCAGACAGATTCACCCATAAGGGAGATGGTTTTGATGGGATCGGTGCTGCCAGTATTCGATTTCAAATTCAAATTTGCGACACCACCTCCTCTGTCAAACCTACTGCTGTATCTCACGATTGTTGTACACGGAGCAAGTCGATAGCCGCACGTGTCTGCTCAGAAAAGAAACCCCAAATTGGGGGTCGAGGCTACGATAAGTTGTCTTATTTCGTTACCGCCGTCGGATGAGTTGTGTTTCTTCCCTCCTTGAAGCCTGCATTTTATGGTGTATGTTTGACGCCCCCTCCTGCGTGACCCTGGATGGTTGTACGCATACAGCAGTAGTTGTACGAACATAATACACTGAAAAATGCAGTACTCTACATACACTGAAGAGTGTAGTTCACGCCGCACCACGAAAAATGAGCGGGCTGTCGCCATAATAAAAAGGACGAAAGAATACACACACAACATATGGTCGGAAAGGAGCGGTCTTGCCCAAGTATTGTCGAAATACTGCCGGCTTTGTACATTTGGAAGCCGATAATCAAACCAGTGGGCTAGTCAGCGCTGATAGTGGAATAGTTTGATTTCGGCTTCAGCTTTTCGGCAGAAAGACACACTTGGGTTGCTTCGCGAGACACCCGGAACGCCCCTTTCGAGCTGACCAAAATGGGGTCAAGGCCACAGCACGCCCTTCTCACGAACCGTTGCATCTCTTTTGTCGTATGCCTCGCCGTTTCTCCCTTCACAAGTGCGAAAGGGCAGATCCTTTATTTCGCACTTGCAGGGTGATTCCATCGCCCATCGGTGGCTCATGTGCTCGTCTTGCTCTCGCCTCTCCCGGCAGGTTTGGCCGCAAGAGCTCGAAGGGACCCAACATGAAGACCATCAATGCCATGTTCATCAAGTACGCGGCCCTGGGCGATAGCCCAGGCGAGTGTGGGAGGCAGTACGCGGCCTTCCCCAGGTTATTTTAAGTTAACATGTTCGATGATAAAGCATGCAATCGGGAAAGTTGGGTTAGGGTCTGCGTACCCCCTCCCTGTTTCCTCATAGAGAGTTAATTTCTCGAAGGCCGGTCCGAGAGAAGATCCTGGTTCGGTTCTATCATAGGTTTTCCCATGCGACGTGCCCTTCTGCTGAGCAGGGCCAAGAGACGTCACCAAGAGGGTCCGTCTTGAGGTGTAAATTGACCATGCATGTGTACTAAGCGATCCCTCCGGGGTTGGTCTCATAAGAGGTCACCATGCCATCAAGGGGTGACAAGATGAAAATTTAAGCAGGGAACGCGACCAACGCACCTCCAGCTGCCAGTTGTAACGCTTCCCAACTTACAGCTGACGTGTTTTTGACTCGAAGAGCCCAGCGAACCTAAATGAACCAATAATAATTTTTTCAAATCTGGGGACATAGTCTTACCACCATGTGCTCGGGAGGCGTGTTTTGATGCTGGGGGAGGCAGATGAAGCCCAGGAGGCGCGCTTCTCTTCTGGAGTGACTCACGCCTGTTCCATTTCTAGCGGAATCACTCCCTCCCCCGCGGCCATGTTTGCCATCGGGGTTGGGTTTTCGTCGCTTGGCAACGACGTTGTAAAACAAGCCAATTCACTTCGTGAACTCGCCAACCAGGTTACCTTCTTTTTTTTTTACCTCCGNGGTTTTCGTCGCTTGGCAAAGACGTTGTAAAACAAGCCAATTCACTTCGTGAACTCGCCAACCAGGTTACCTTCTTTTTTTTTTACCTCCGGTTTTTATTTTTTTGGCGGTAACCATAATGGTGGTCGAGTAGATCATGTTGTGCGGGGTGGAGAACCCTCACTCCGCGCAAGGGGGTTGATCGCACCACGTTGCGTTAAAATGGCCAAGCCCCCTCGAGGCAGTTACACAGTGCTCACAACTGTCTCTGGAAGTGAAAGCACCAGAAAGTAAATGAAGTCATACGCAGCTGTCATCCGTACGCAAGGAAGTAAGCACAAGATGCCGAACACCCTTAGCAGGATGCAGCGCACCCTTCATGCGACTCGCCGAATATCTCACGGCGCTTCGCGCTTGGTGATGTGAGAGCCTGGTCCGGTGAGAACCCGGCGTGCTCCGTCCCGGCTTTGTAGGGATGCGAGGTCAATGGTCTAACGACTACGGCATGCACGACTATGAGTACCCCCCCCCCCCGCGGCCATGCTTCTTTGCTAAAGAATGGTAGCCACTCCTTCCATCAACCTATCCATTCCGGTGAACCGGAATATTTCCGTGGGACGATCCGTACCGATGTCTCTCTGCCGCTCTATCTATCTCTCTCTCTGCCCCCCTCCCCCCCCTCCGACCCCACCCTGTATCTCTCTTGCTGAGATCGTGCGGGGCGACGTTAGTGTTCCACTTCCATATCTGTTCGACCTTTGAGGGTGACCGAATTACCGATCCAATCGTTGCGGATGACTTACCCTTGGTCCTTGGAGTCATCCTACCTGTCGACGCAACTGGGGCTCATGTACGTACCCCCCGCCGCATTAACAGGGGAAGCGATAGATATGTCTGGCATATGCCAGCTCGGGGAAGACATCGGCATAGATGCAGCCACAGACGTGAGCATCCTGGTCCTCTGCTGGAAGCTAGGCGCGAAGGCCAAACCGGGGCACGTGATGGCGCCGGAGTGGTTGGAGGGTATGGAGATGCTGGGCGCCGACTCCATCGACAAGGTACGAAGTACGGAGGTGGGGTGTACTGATGCAAACGCACGCCGTAGTCGTTAGAACCATTCACCTCGAATCCCTTCAAGGGCGGGACGGAGCGGTAACCGGGTTTTCGCCGGCCCAGGTTACGTTTCACCAGGACGAATCAGAAGCTGGTCACCATCCTTGCGTTTGTTGTGCCAACCCAGATATGCCATGGGTTCGTTGGGCATCCCGGCAGACCAAACGTTTCATACTCGGCAGTCACAGCTATACTTGGAAGTACTACAACGGAACGTCGAGGGGGGGGAGTCCACGCAGCACGGATTTGTTGTTGGTGGTTGATGGTCCAACTCGACAACCAACCGAGAAATTTTGACGGTTCAGGACGGATGACAAGGCAATTCTAACACCCCGACCCATCGAAACTTACAACAGTTGAAGGAGCAGCTTCCATCGTTCGACCTGGGCTTCATGGAGGGCGAGGAGTTCCGTGAGTTCTACAAGTTTTGTTTCCAGTTCTCTAGGGAAGGCACGCACCGCACGATCGAGAGAGACGTCGCCGCGCCGCTGCTTGAGATGGTGAGCCCAAGAGCCTGGTACTATTGAGTAGGCCAACCAGTGGTGTTGTTGTTGGTATTATGGTTGTTGTTGCTGCTGTTGATGAATTGGTGTCGGTGCTGCCGCCGCACCCCTTCTTGAGAAGGTGAGCCAGGAGCATGTCTTGGAGTCGGCCAATCTGTTGCGTAGCTGTGATCGTCGTTGTTGTTACTGGTGTTGTAGTTGGTGGCGTAGTTGTCTTGACTTAATAGGAACAGTCGGTGCGGCCTTAAGTGCCACTCGGGTAGGTCGAGAGCGACGTTCAACGCTCTGGTGCTGTATCTGATTCGATGCAAGCGATGGCATTCACTTCTTTCCACATAGACAGCGAGATCCCTGTTTCAAAGTCTTGTCTCTAGCATGTCTCCTTCCGCAAACGGCCCAAACCTCTCTCGTTTTGAGACTTGACCGAAAGAAGAAACCAACCAGGCCTGGACTGGTGTGCGTGGTGGTCTCTCTCACCTTCGATGACTACTTTTATCCTATTGCGGATAGATGAGTGTTTCTTTTGTAGAACCTTCGGCGGGCGAACGCTTCACTCCCTCAAGCTGCTGTTTGTTTCCCGGATGACTTGCCGCCCCCCGGTGTGCGCCATCGTCTGGTAATGCTTGTGAAACGTAGCCTGGGCCGGCGAAAACCCGACATTTGTATAGCTCCGTCCCGGCGTTGTAGGAATGTTCCAACGACATCGTGCGTTTACGCGAGTAACCCCCCCCCCCACCCAGTAAGAAACAGAAGAAAGTGTTCCGGTGGAAAGTAGAGCGTTTGGGAGACGAGTAGACACTGGATGAATTCCAGAAGGGACTGGCTCATAGTGTAGAGCACTTTCGGAATTTGCTGAGCAGCGTTGAAGACGGGCATGTAGACATACAA